CCCCAAAACCCCAAAACCCCAAAACCCCTGAATTTTTCTTAAGAATTGATTTATTTCTCTCTTAAAGAATTAAACAGGATAATGAGCAAGACTGCTCCAAAGCCAAGGAGCAGACCGATGTACTGGGCGAGGTTAGGGTACCTGCCGAAAAGGATTAGGTCGAAGACTGTTTGGAAGAGAGTACTGAGTTCGAATATGGCTGAAACAATAGCGGCTTTTCCTCTGACGTTTACATAAACGGTACAAGGCTCCTCCAAAAATTCCAACGGTAAGCTCGAAGGGAGTGCATTCGAAACCTTGAAATATCAGGACAATTAGATATACAAATGTCCCTGCTGCATAGATTGCCATAATAAAGTTGTAGAGAGCAGAGATATTAATTTCTGGTGCCTCTAGAGAAACATATTTGCATACTGCAATTCGCATAGTACTGAATAGCATTGTTATTATCATAGATAAACACGATAAAACAACAAAAAATGCTTGAGTATCTTGCTTCTCATTCACTACTTTATCTTCTCCTGAGTAAAGTATTGAAACGACAGAAATAATCAAGATCATAATACCTACGATTTCGTACCACTTCAAACTTTGCTTGAACATAAAATAAAAAATAATCGATACAAAAATGAGCCTCGTAACTCTCAATGATCACATAATACCACTATTAAAAAATCCAACAGTTGCATAATAAAATGCAAGAATATACATCAAACTTAATAAAACAGTCAAAACCAGCAGCACAACTGTCATCAAAGCCCTCCTCATTCAAATACCTATAAAATTACTTTCACAGAACACCAAATATTCCCTCCACAAAACACCCTGATAAAATCCTTCTTTCTCCACCTAAAATCCTCCCACTCAACCCCCTTTCCACCACTCCTAATCCCTTCACTAGTTTCCAAAAATCCCTAAACCCCCACTTCTCCTCTAGAACACGTTCAAATTTTTAAATTTTTAAGCTCAGGTTGAACACCTTTTAGTAATGAACTCTACGCTAAGGCTAGGTTTTGGGGAATTATTTTAGGTTAGAGAAGTACCTTGTTCCCATTGGGCATTGAGTAGGTTGCCATGGACGTCTCTTTTACGGATGTAGTAGATGTCATATAGCCATTTTAACCATGGAGATTTTGGCTGAGAGGATGATTGAGAGGTTTCTTGAAATTTTAAGTATCTTTCTTGAAAACTGACCATTATTAATAAAATAAAGTTTCCTAAGAATTCTCCTGCTCCTTGAATTCCTCCAGCTTTGATTTTGTACTTTGACACATAGCAGAATGTAATATTAGCCATAGAATTAAGAATACTATAACAAATTTATAAATTCCTTTAAATTACCTCACCAGCAAAGACACAGGAACCCATATCTTCGCTGAAACAAGCTCTTCCCCCTTCCTATTCCCCTCCTCCTTTCTCCAATCTTCCTCATCCTCACTCCTCACCATCTTCACAGTCCCACTCTTCCTCGTAACAGATGCCATTGCTTTTCTACAAATAATATACCTGTTGGGGTTTTGGGGTTTTGGGGTTTTGGGG